CCGGCGCGGACAGAGCCCCCTCCGCCCGTGCGCGGCGACGTGGGATGAGTGGCCCTGCAGCGAGAAATGCAGGGAGGCGAAAGCACAGCCGCGCGGCGGGAGCCCCGCCGTCCGGGCGATCGAGCCCCACGGCCCGCGTCCGCTCCTCAGGGGACCCGAGGCTGTGTGTCTTCTACGCTAATGAACTTTCTAAATCAAAGCACTTATCGTTTTACCGCAGCTTGCACGCGCCTCTTCCGTCCTCTGAACTCCAGCACCGCGCGGGCGGAGTTGCCGTGGTCTCACGCACGAAGACGCGGGCCGGTCCGCGCTCCGGGGCTGCGCGGGAGCTCGGCTCTGCCTGGCCCAGGCCAGCCCCTCTGCATCGTTTTGGGATGGAGATTCCCTAGCCGTGGAACAGTTGCAAGGTGCACAGCCGTGATCTTTTTTTTTTTTTTTTTTTTTAAATGGGTGACCGCAGAGAAAAAAAGTCTGGAAGGAGGGGGATCCACGCCTCCGTGCTGACGTGAAGAGCGGGTCACTGGCTACTTTGGCTTTTCTCATAGGTTATGTGCTCTGACTTTTCTGTTTCGGTGGTTTCTCTTGTCTTAGTTTGGGACCCCTCAGAAACAGGCCCTGAGACGAGGATGTGGATGCAAGGATAGGGGTGCAGCCCCTGAAAATGTAGCGGGAGGAGAAATAGGAATTTTCTCCTCCAAGAGGAGGAAGCAGCCGGCAAAGCAGCCTGTTAAGCAAATATCCACTGTGGAGGAGAGGGGCTTCCCACCCTAGGAGGAGGGGCTACACTGAGTTGTCTCCCCCTGGGCAGAAGAGCCCGGTGCGGAGACACTTCCCGACTTGGAGAGGTGGGCAGTGGGCCCCTTTGGCCAGAGAAAGATTTTGGGCAGAGACAGCAGCTGAGAGTTACGTAGAGGAGGCTTCATGCTCTCCAGCGGAAAGGCCCAACTAGAACCTTTCGGGGTGATGACAGTGTCAGCTACGTACCTTTACTGCGCATAATAATAACAATGATAATGATAATTTCCACCTGGGAAATTGTGCTATTGCGGGTCAAAAATATTCCTCACTTTTGCATCTGTTATAGGGGTGAAAAAAACTGGGATACTTGATTTCTCTAGCTTTCAAAGCTAAAACATACACTCAACCAATTCCTAGTTCTTGTGTTTTACCGTCAGATTAAATTACAGCTTTCATGGGTGACTGCATTTTATTACACTTTTGAAAAAGTCCCCATTCTATCAGATATGTATATGTGCTTGGGCACCTAGTGGGTGACCTTACAATGTTCCTCACAGCATTGCTCTGAAATTAATGCATGTATGTTCTAAACAATGACTAGGGAAGCACTGCGTCCCAGGACGTATAGGTAACTGCCCTGAAGAAGAAAGCTTCCCGAGGTTCAACACTGGCCATGGGAGGTAGATCAAGGCCACCAAGTGCAGCGGGCTTCCTGAAGAGCATGCCTTCTCGGAAACCTGGATATACAAATTTACATGGTGCGCTTCCAAGAGAAAGGTGTGATATGCGGTCATTCCCAAATAAGTTTGACTATAGAGCCCTTTTTCTGTAGAAATCTTCTCTGAGCCTTATTTCTACTTTCCTCTTTGTTCAGAGAAAAAGACGACTGCATTCTCAGGGTCCTGTGTGCTGCGGTCCCTCCCTGCAGAGAGCAGGGAAGGTATCCCCGGGAGAGACAGCATGCCTGAGGGTCCATCACACACGGCCTGAGAGAGCGCGTTTCACCCCCAAGTGCTTGGTTCATACTCACCTATAGGCGGTTAGGTTAACTAGAGCTAACTGCAAGTGCTGAAACCACAGTCCCCCATCCCGTATCCTACGTACCTCATATCAAGGGCTTCGGGATTGTCAGTATCACCAAACTTCAGATACAACCTAGAAAAAGAGAAGCAACATGATGCATCAAAAACAGGAGACCCCACTGACACCAAAATGACCTCAGAACAGATCACAGACCTAAACATTAACACCTAAGTACAAAGTTTACAGAATATTTACACATGTTTATTGCTAAGGGTAAGCAGTTTTATTGGAAAAATACAATAGCATGAGCCACAGAAGAAAAACTGCTAAGTTAGACTTTATTAAAAAAATTTTTTTGACCTTCAAATGATAATGTTAAGAAAACAAAGCGGAAAGGACACAGAATAGAAGATATTTGCAGTACACACACACGAAGGACTTTATCCACAATATAATGAACTCAACAGTTCACTAAGAAGACAGTCAAACTTACAATTGGAAGACTTGGACAGGTACTTTATGAAAAAAGACATACAAGTAGCCAATAAATGATTACGCTTGGTGGCTCCTGCCCTAAATCCCAGCACTCAGGAGACCGAGGCGGGAGGATAGTCACAAGTTTGTGGTGAGCTGCGCTACATAGTGAGATCTTGTCTCAAAAAAAAAACAAAGAAAAACAACCAATTTGTACATGAAAAGATGGTCAGCATTATTCAATATCAGGAAAATATATAATAAAACCATGATATGATACCATAGTATAGTGAAAACAATGACTAATTTAAAATGGGAGTGATAAGTTTTTAATTCCTCTTCACATTTTCCTGGAATAATGATTCCGAGGAGAGATAGATGAATATTACTTTCTCACGGGAATAACATCAGTTCCCATTAATCCACTTCTTTCCCCTGGGCAGCAGGGTGAGAGGCAGCCATCGGTCTACACATGCTGAGGGTTTTCACAGAGGTGAGGAAAACCACAGTTAGAAATCTGGGAGGTCCCACTGGAGAAGGACAGTGGCTCCCCCTCACTCCTGAGACGGGGAGATACGCTTGCTGCTTTAGTCCCAGTGCAATCTCTGCAGGAAGAGAGGGTTCTGCATACCTGCCACAGATTGATGTAAGTAGATCAAAATTACCCTTTGGGTGGGAACAAATAGCTCATGAGAAAGGAGACAAGTGGTTGCAGGTTTAATAACGATGGTGCATAAATGAAGGTGACCAACACACATTAAAACGTGTCTCCTCAGGTTTCCAGCTCCCAGATGTCTCCATGGTCATCGGTCTCCCAACCCTGGACAGGAAACGCATTCCTCTCAAAAGCAAATCTCCTACTAACTTCAAGGCTTATCTTGTAACCCAGCTCACGGTGAAATTGGTTCAGAAAGGGTCAACCACCCAAAAACTTTAAAATCTTTTGCCTCGAGTCTCTTATTGACTATACAAAATATTTTAAAATTTATTTTGATGAGTGCATGTTTGCAGTACATAATGATGACAATGACTGTGCAGAGTTGGTCCATGGATTTAGCAATCTTAATTCTTCCTGTGTCCCACTCTCCCACCTCCCTCCATCTCTTGGATCTCCTTTGCAAAAGATCTCCCTGTTTCCTTTTCTGTTGCCCTTTATTTTATTTATACTCTGAGTTTCTCATATAAGAGAAACCGTGCAATATGTAAGCTGTGTGTCTGATTTATTTCACTTCCTCTTATGGCTCAAAGTGCATTCATTTTCATACAAATGACTCAAAGTACTCTCTGTACAAACTACTGGTAAGGAGGTAGATTGGTGTGATTCTCATACAGTGCTGGTGGGAAGGTAAAATAGTGCAATGACTTTTAAAAAGAGTTTGGTAATTTCTTAAGTTAAATACGTTCACTCCATATATTTAGCCTTTCTGTTCCTAGGTGGAATAACACCTCAGGGGAATAAAAATACATGATGCCACAAGGACTTGTGTATGAGTGCTAGTAGCAACTATACTTGGTAAGTTAGGTAAAAATTCACTGGTAGGAAAACCATGTTTCCACCAGCAGGTGAATGGATAAATAAGTTTAAATACATCATGCAATGAAACACTACTAAGTAGGAGGAAGGAATATACCATCACTACATAGAGCAATATAGAAGATTATTCAAATTATTTTGCTAAGTGATGGATGCCAGATTTTCAAAGTGCACACTATATGATTATATAAAATTCGAGAAAATGGAAACTACTCTCCAATGATAGAAGATCAATGGTTTTCTGGAGAGATGGGAGTAGCCAGAGAGACAGATTAGAAAGGAAAACAAGAAAATGTGGGGAGTGATGAATGTTTTATTGTCTCGATTTTGGTAACAGTTTTATGTGTATAGACATATAAGAAAACTGGACAAATGGTATACTATAAATATGGGCAGTTGATTGTACTTCAGTTCTTTTTTTTTTTAGGGACAAGTGTATTGGAAATAAGTAGAAAAATGATCCTGGTTTTTCCTTAAGGAGAATCCTAGAAGGAATTTCTTTTTTTCTTCTTCTTCTTTTTTTCTTTGTATCAGGAATCAAATGCAGGACCTTACACTGGCCAGGCAGGCTCTGTGCCACTGAGCTATATCCCTGGCCCTCTAGAAATGGAATTTCATTTTGTACTTCATTTCTATGTCAATGCAATTTTAAAAATAAAAATACTAAGCAGCTAAATAAATAATTGTATTAGGAAAATGTGAGAAATTTAAATATACAAAGGATATATCATTATAAAGTCTAAAAGTTGTAACACCTCACTATACATTATAAAACACAAGAGCAAATAGTTACAAAAGGTTTAATTAAACCTTGAAAAATACCACACACATATATAATCTGATTGATTTTATCCCACTTAAAACAGAAATACAAATATCAGTGATCAGGCTGAAGTTCCATCTTGCTATTCATGGGGGAATATGGTGATATTTATAAAAATAAATCATATAAATAGGATTGATGAGAGACACATTTTTATTTCTTAATATCATCAACCTAGCATCTTATTTGTACTCATTTACCATCATTCTATAAGATTATTCACTCAGTAAAAGAAGCCCTCAAGAGGCCTTTTCCCTAAAAGCATTTTCATACTCTGCTCCAAATTCCTGAAAATACTTTAAGAAATCACATGCCTTTCTTGAATAGTGTCACATAAATTTGATTAGTCACTTAATCTGACAAAAACTTCTCTAGTGCACACAAAGAACCAGAATAGCTTGATTACCATGCACTGGCTCAACCGCTAATGAACTAAACCTCAGAGCAGATTTATCTTGAGCCGCCTAACCTCCGACCCCAACCTCTGACCCCAACTTCCGACCCATCTCCAGAGGGAGCAGCATGATCATAGCCTCTAAGCTTCTGAGCTTTTCTCCAACCGTCCTGTTTTCGGTGGAAGCTGACTAACACACTGTGCTTAGGAGGAAAGAATACAAGGCCTGATGTCAACACAGCAAACGCAAAGTTCATTCAGTGAGGATCTCTAAAGTATCAGGCACTACACCACTGACTGGGATTGTAAAACTATGTGACTATTTAAATTTTTTTGGAATTTATTACAGTGAAAGTCCCATTGCCATTAATCCCTCTTAGAATCCTCCCCCTTTCTTTGAATACACTTATCCCGTAGTTTACAACTTTCTGCAGCAGCTCTGGAGTCCTCTTTCCTGAGTGTCTTTAGTTGTGCTGTCCTGGCTGCCTCAAGGTCCTGAATGGATTCAGAATATTTACATTTCATAGACATTTTGACATTGGGAAAAGCCAGAAGGTGCACAGCGCCGGATCAAGTGAATATGGTAGATCTTACTTTTTCAAGCCTGCCTTTCCATTGGATGGCACTCAGCATCTGCATTTGTCTTTTTTTTTAATCATACTGTGTAAAGACACTCAGGAAAGAGGACTTCCACAACTGCCTCAGAAAGGGGCCAGAATGACGGGATAAGCATGTCTAAAGCAAAGGGGAGGATGTTGAAAGGGATTAATGACAATGTGTCTTTTACTGTAATAAATTTTTTATTTAAACATGCCCTATATGGTTTGATCACACCCTGTACAATGTGCTAGAGTAAGAGCTGGAGAAGAAGGAGCCTTTTTTTACTCTTTCTAGTGTCCTACTTTTACAGATTTAAAACAGATTGTGAATTCTTCAGACTATAATTGTCTAAATAAAAAATATACACAGATGCTGGGATTATGTTCTATTTTCAGAATTGTCAGTATTTAACAAGACTTCCACAGCAAATCTGTCTGCCAAATTTGCCTCTCCCTGCTCTTGTTTCCAAGAGCTAAAACGTGGCCATCTGGTCTTCCATCCAGCCTCTGGCCTTACACGGTTGTGCCTTCACTCCAGTCTGTTCTCCCAGGAGCTCCTATGCCGGTGCTTTCACGTGGAAGATCTCCTCACTGGCAGAGCAAAGGCATCTTACTCATCTACGCAACGTGAGGCACTTGGCACAGGAAGTCAGGAGCTGGGCATGAAGACCTCACTCCCTGAAGACCCTCTGACTCATCTCAGCAGACATGCCGACGTCTCCGATGCCCCTACTCTCCTGAGCAGGACCCTAGGAGGTGGGTCAGGGCTCACACCTGAGCAGAATTCCAGAGTGGTGACCGAGAAGACCAAATATCAGTTCCTGCCTAACTCTTCATCCATGAGCAATGAAAACCAAAGCTCAGGAAGCCTCTCCACTGGGTGATCAGGCACCTCCCACTCTGCTGTAGTTACCAGGAGTAGTGTCGCAGTCATTAGAAAGGAAGGGAACGCTGCTGACTTGAGTGGCACTGGATAAGGTCCAGAGTACTTATGCAAACACACCTGATACGGTTACCATGTGGATGCCCCCTAAGAGCTTCAGACACTCATAGGGGAGCTTTTATTGGGTGATTGGATTGGTGGGGACAAATAACTAAATGTGATGTCGGGAGGTGGGGCCTGGTCGGACAAGCCGGCTTACTAGGCGGGTGACCCTGAAGGCTGGATCTCCTTCCGCGGTTCCTCCTCCTCTCTCCACTGCCTGTCCATCATGGTGTGAGCCGCTGTCCTCCACCCAGGCCCTGCCACCGTGCCTGTGAGGACCTCAAGTGGTGGGAAACAAGCAGGGCCTGTGAGCCAGTGAATGGAAGCTGTTATGGTTTGTCTGGGGGTGTCACCCAAAACCTCCTGAGACCAGAGATGGGGCTGTAGGCAGTGCGCGGATGATGGGGCACCACAGCCGAACCTGTGTCAGGAGGTAGGGTGTGGGAGGAAGAGGCAGGTCACTGAGGTCGTGACCGGGAAGGGCTGGTCTCCCCCCCCCCCCGGCTCCTGTCTCTCTCTCTGCTTCCTGTCCGGCATGCCATGAACAGCTCTCCTTAGCCCAGGTCCGTCTGCCATACTATCCTGCATTGGACCCAGACAACCATGAACTGAATGCGAGCCAATACAAACCTCTCCTCCTTTAAGTTGCTGGTGGCAGGTACTGCACCCCAGCAGCGGGGAAAGTGACCAAGACAGACTTCACTGCCTCTCTCTGACAGATGACAATCCTGCAGGCCCTGCTTACAAAGTCAGAAAGCTCACCGGCAGCACTACGCCTAGGAGCTAAGATTTTGTTCTTCCCATCTGTAGGTTTTCAGTGATCATGACGGTCTCCCAAGCCCAGTTCAAAGCCGTGATGCCCTCATTTTTCCTGTAAATACCCCAGGGTCAGGACAAATGGATTCGAGGCAGGCCAGTTGGCCGTGGTCAGGGAAGGTTATCCCCGGGCACTCAGCCTCTTTCCAAGCAACTGACCACAAATAAAGAGCTCTGCAGGGAATTAATTAGACTCTGAGGAAAGGTTGTGAGCTCTCAGTAGCACTGGCATCTCTTTGACAGTCTTTGATGGTTGTGCTGTAACGGGGTAAACAAATCGGGGAGGATTTTGGATGCTTACACATAGGATTCCCTAAATCCCTATTAAGAGATAATCATTCTAAAAAGCAAGACACTAAAACTCATAATAGGACCATAATCCAGTTTTACTCATCATCAAGAATATTTAAATGAGGCATAAAGTCCAGGAATAAAAAGATGTTTCCAGTCAAAGTACATAAAGTATAATAAGAACACACACACACACACACACACACACACACACACACACACACGTATTATACAAAGCTTTCTTCCTATTTAAACCAGGCCAGAACAAATGCAAAGAGCCTTTCAATGCCTACATTATAGCATCAAATATTGAAAAAGAAGCTTACTGAACACGAGGGGGACAGGTCACAATATATAATAGCAAAAAGTTTTACTTAGGTGACTGGAATGCAGAGGAAAGCATTGGAGATTGATCTGCTCTTCAAAAGGGATATCTATTTAATCTGACTTTATCTCAAACCAAAACTGATTATTCAGATCACATTGAAATGTCCTAAAGAATTCTCTGAAATTTGCTCAAGGACATCCTTGTGCGTTTGCAAAGGGGCATTGTTTCACAGTTTCAGAAAGCTCTCCTAGAAAGAAACACTCGCTTCACTAGAGTGAGGGTTCGCTTCACCTACTAAGAGCATGTGTGACCCTGTAATGTAATTTCTTCCTTGGTGACACAAAATCAGCTTGATAGCTAACACTGGAAGTTGAGAAGAAGCCTGAAATTCTTTTCTTTTTTCTCTTTCAAAAATGAGTTTGAAGGGGCTGGGAATTTAGCTCAGCAGCACAGTACCTACCTGGCAAGTGCAAGGTCATGAGTTTGATTCCCAGTACCAGAAAAAAAAAAATGAGTTTGAGCCAGGCGTGGTGACGCACTCCTGTAATCCCAGCACTCGGGAGGCTGAGGCAGGAAGATCGTTGCAAGTTTTAGGCCAGCCTGGACTACATAAGTGAGTTCAAGGCCAGCCAGAACTGCATAGTGAGACCTTGTCTCAAAAAAAAAAAAAAAAAAAAAAAAAGAGTTTGATCCGACAGAGGATTACTATTGAGAACATATAAAGAACTCAAAAAATCAGATTCCTCAAAATTTAAAGACCCAATCTATAAATGGCACCTGAGATGAATACATACTTCTCAGATGGATAAATAAATATAAATATATGAAATATATAAAATAATAAATATATGAAATAAATATAATAAAAAAATAAATATATGAAAAAATGTTCCAATGTTTTCAAATAAATGTATGAAAAAATAAATACATGAAAAAATGTTCAACACCTCTGGTCATTCAAGAGATGCAAATTAAAAAAAAACACTGAGATTCCATCTCACTCCACAAAGAATAGCTATCATCAAGAAATTAACCCATAGCTGGGTGTGGTGGCTCACACCTGCAATCCCAGCATTCTGGAGGTTGAGGCAGGAAGATCATCGTGAGTTTGAGACCAGCCTGGGCTACAAAGTGAGTTCAGGGCCAGCCTGAACTGCATAGCAAGACCCTGTCTCAAAAAGACAAGAAAGAAAAGAAAAGAAATCAACCAATAACAAATGCTAGTGGGGCTGTGGGGAAAAAGGAACCCTTCTCCATTTGTGGGGGTGTAGACTGCTGCAACCACTGTGGAAATCAGTGTGGAGGTTCCTAAAAAAAACTAGGATTAGAAGTCCCATTTGACCCAGCTATTTCTCTTCTGGCTATCTTCCCGAAAAGATTAAAAGTATCATACCACAGCAGTATATGCACATCCATGTTTATAGTGACACAGTTTGTAATAGGTAAACCTTAGAAACAGCCCAAATGCCCATCAGCTGGTGATAAAAAAAAGATAAAAGGATGTGGTTTTTTTATATAAAGGAGTACTACTCTGCCATAAAGAAGGATAAGTTTGAGGTTTTTCTAGCTAAATGGATGTACCTTGAGACCATACTCTCAAGTGAAATAAATCAGACGTATATGTTTACATACTGCATTTTTTCCTCCAGTGTGAGAAACTGAAAGTGTAAATAAGGACCAAAATGTATAACAAATATTGTGAAATAGGAAGAAAATGTACAAATGAGGAGGGGAATAAGGAAGTTGGGAGAGGGAAAGGAAAGAAAGGAAAAGTAAAAAAAAAAAAGTGAGAAAAGAAGGAAAAAATAGAAACAAAGCTTTTGTAAATGGTGAGGGTAGAGGGGTTGAAGGGAGGGTAGGGGAGTGGGAAAAAAAGAATCAAGTTATATCAGGTACAGGCTCAAATTCTCTATGATGAATATGATCATTATGTGTATCTAAAATGGACCCATAAAATCTGATTAAAGATAAATAAATAAATAATCTGTGGCTCAAAAAAAAATGAATTTGAGAATCCCAACTTTTAAAACATTCATTTTTCCCCCAAGTTATGATCATTAGCTAAGGGATTTAAATTTTTTCCAGAAAATAAAAATAAAAATATTTGAAAGTTAACTTCTGATTTCTCCTTTCATTTAGACATTGGACACTTTCTCAAGGTGAATGTCACGGTCATAGAATGACAAAAAATGGACAAAAAATTGGATGCTTAGAGCCTACAGACCGCAAGGACCCTGCTTGGACCCCACAGCTGACAGACCCATTCTCTGGCAGGGATGACTCACGTGGCTCTTTCCTCACTGCAGCTGGAGTTGTGTGTGTCCACTGCCACCATCTGACCAAACGCTCCCTCTGTAAGGTCCAGCCAGGTCTGGTTCTCAAATGTAACTGTGATTCTTTTGGCCCAGAAGAGAACGCAGGGGACCCCATTGAGGGACACACAGATGGGATTGAGAGGGGTGAAGGCAGTCCCGTGTTCTCGGTCTCCACATCCTCCTCTGCTCTGGTTGCACGGCGGAGTCTAATGAACCAAATAAAAGACTTTAAGGCATGAATTAATCTCCATGGCACAAAGGGCTTTTAGCAGTAAAAGGGTCAGCTCACTTCCTATAGTGGTAGGTAGAGGCCATTGGGTATTTATTAGAACTCTAAAATGTGCAACATAAAGGGGGAAGGAATTACTCCAGTGCAAACAGAATTTTACTTAGCTAAGAGGAAGCAGAGAGAAGGTAGAAGAGAGGGCAGACGTGATCAAGGCATGATACATGCGTGGATAGAAATGTCCTAGTGATGCTCTACAATTAATATGCATTAGTTACAATTTCTGAAAAGCAGCAGCGGCAGCCTAAGCTCACTGGTAATCACACATAAACCATTATGACACTAACAGTAGTAATTGTTTAAAAGCAAAAGTGAATATCGCAATGAAAATACACAAGAACAGGTAAAAGTAAGTACTTTAGATTTTTCTCAGCTATAAAGCTGTGGTAATACATTTCCCCACCCCACGTTCAAGTAAGGCTATAGTAAATATTAATAGGGTTATTATTTATATTTTCACAGTAGCTTTGACATAATTGTGAAGTATTTACTTTTTTTTTTTTTTTTGAGACAGGGTCTCACTATGCAGTTGAGGCTGGTCTTGAACTCACGTATGTAGCCAAGACTGGCCTTGAACTCACAGCAAGCTTCCTGCCTCATCCTCAGAGTGCTCAGATTACAGGCCTGCATCACCACACCCAGCTACTTTTTTAAAGATAGATTACAATCTAATTTCCTGAGGTGCCCATACCTGTGTGATTGGTACTGGGGTGAAACTCTGCATTGGCTGCATATCTCCATTAATCTGTTGATCTGTCAAATAAAACCTGGTATGAGTACCAAGGCTCAATGTCATCAGTTTATTAATACAGTTGGATGACAATATCACGCTAAGTACTGTAGAACTATTACAACTCTTACCACTCTTTATAACCACTTCTTTATTTGACGAAGCTCGAGAACTGAAATTGAAAAAAAGAAATTTAAATACAGAGCAAATATTTACAATTCAGACTTCACATGATGCATTAAAAATTTATTTCAGTTTATCACATCTTGGAGTACAATTTTACTCTGTCAAAACTGCTCATTTTTAAAGGTAAATTTCTGATCTTAAAAGCAATATATGCTCTTTAAAAAATATAGAAAATGGCTGCACATGGTGGTGCACGGCTATAGTCCTAGCATTCTGGAGGCTGAAACAGGAGCATTGTTGCGAGTTCAAGACCAGCCTGGGCTACAAAGTGAGCTCAAGACCAGCCTGAACTGCATAGTGAGACCATGTCTCAAAAAAAAAAAAAAAATACAGAAAATACAGAAAAAGAAAAAAAATTTTAAATCAACTTTGATCCTTATACATTGAATATTACAGAAAGCCTACTATCCTAAGTCATTGTGCTAGGAACTACAGTTTGATAACAAATAATAACAAAATAATAAAATATAAAAACTTTCCAGTGAAATTTTAAACTACATTGTATTATTTATATTAAAGCCAAAATAGCTAACCCTTAAAATTAATTTAAAAAGATGCTGAAAAGGTATTTCTGAAAACTCAGAATGAAAATTATGATCTATCCGCTCCACTCTTTGCACACATAAACACACATCACACACATATGTAACATACACCACACACATGTGTAATTTACTTTTCATAAAACTGAGAGACATATTTTGTGAACACACTGTTCTGGATCCTGCAAATTTCTTATTTACAAACATGTCACTAATATTTACTCATGTTATTGTATATTTTTCTGATACAGCTATAGATGCCACGTGGTATTACATCACAGTATCCTAAGCAGTATTGTTAGAATACCACAGCAATTGGAAACGCTTGTATTAGTCAGTATTTCATTACCACAGTCTAGCACCTGAAATAGGCTACCCATGGAAGAACACAAAGAGGTTTTTTTAGTTGATTCACAGTTTTGGAGGTTCAGTGTCATAGTGCCTGCATTGGCTCTCTTCTGCTGAGGGCTCTGTGTAGGGGGCAGGCAGCAATGGCAGAGAAAATGTCAGCGACAAGCCCAGAGCCCAGAAGCAGAAAGGGCAGGAGAGGCCTGGTTGACTGGCTCTCTCTCTCTCTCTCTCTCTCTCTCTCTCTCTCTCTCTCTGTGAGTGTGTGTGTGTGTCTGTGTGTGTGTGTGTATGCTACCAGGAATTGAACCAGAGGTTCTTTTTTACTTCTTTTTTTTTTTTTTTTAAATTTTGAGACAGAGTCTCGCTAAGTTACTAAGTTGCTCAAGCAGGGCTTGAATTTTTTATCCTCCTGCCACAGCCTCCCAGGGTGCTAGGATTATAGCGGTTCACTCCTACACCTGACTTGCTTGCTCCTTTTATAACTACTTTCTCACAAGAATGACTAAGGCATCGCACCAGAGTGACTGCATGCCCCCAATGACCTAAAGTCCTCCCAGTATGCACTGTTCCCTAAAGGTTCCACAAGTTTCCTACACTGCCACTCTGGGTGCTTTGCCTCCAGTCATAATGCACTTTTGAGGACACTCAAACCACAGCACAGGGTAACACTGAAGAACAGCGATTTGGCTAAACACACATGGTATATTTCTATCATGTAGTATCACGTGGCATCCAAAACTATATCCAAAAAACATAACATGGGTAAATATTTATGAAATATAGTTTAAGTGAAAAAATTTGTAAAATTTGAAACAATATATCCATAAAAATCTGTTTTTAAGTTTTATAAAAGCAAACTACATATGTATGTGCTATATTTGTGTTTATGTGTGTGCAGGGACTGGAGGGGATAGATCATAACTTCCCATAATTTTCAGAAATACCATTTTAGCAATTGAATTCATCTCTTTTATTAATAATGAGTTTGCTATTTTTGTTTTAATATAAAAAATACACTGTAGTATAAAATTTCACTGTAAAGTACTTTATTATCTATAGTTATTTGTTATTATTTATTATTGGTTAGGCCTTAGTGTGTAGGAGATGGCTTGGGATACTAGACTTTGCAATATTCAGTGAATGAGCATCAACGCTGATGTTTTAAAGTTTTTTCTTCTTTAAATTGTTCTGTATGTTCTATATTTTCTTTGAAGTGCATAGATTTCCTAAAGTTAAATTAAGTTAAAACATATGTGCCTGTTTTATCGAGAACATTCAAATAAATACAAAATAATACGTAAAAATACTTCTTAAATCCCAGGTAACAATACTCATCATCCATCTTCAGTAATCCTGTTTCACTGATACACTTAACACTTCCATCCTGTAGCATTATTTTGAAGAAGATATCAGAAATTATATCATTTCAATATATTTATCTAAAAGATAAGAATTTTTTAAAATAATAGCATCATTGCAGCTATGAAATATTGATAATTTTTAACATTAAATATTATTCTGTCATGATATATATGCAAAACATAATTACAGCTGAAGAGTTACTAAATCTATGTCATAGTAAAGTACTTCAGAATTAATTATACGGAATCAACTACAAATTAAGTACCCTATTCTCTTTGTAATATGATCTCTAATATCTAATGAAAATTCATGAGGATGACAAATTGGAGACAATAATGTCTATTAACAAATTCATGCATGAATGCAGCTACCATTTGTATCAATTTTAATGCAGTATAATTTATGTGCAGTAAACTGCAATCGGGCTAAGTATATAAACCTATGAGTTTGGGTCACAAACCCATGGCACCACTATCACAGTAGAGATACAGAATATTTATCTTAACCACAACAATTTCTCCATGCATTCTGGCAGCGGACAGATGGTCCCTCTACCTTCAGCTCCAGGCAAGTAGTGACTTGTTTTCTGCCACTTTAGATTATGTAATCTGCGTGCTCTAGAACTGCATATTAGCAGAATTGTATAACTTGTATACTTTAGTGTTTGGCTTCCTTCAGTCCTAATGAAATCACTTGGAAATTAACACATATTGTTGTACGTATCACTGGTTCATTCCATTTTATTACTAAAATATTTCATTACATGGATATATTGTATTTTATTTGTGTACACAGTGATGGACATTTAAAGTGTTTCCGGTTTGGGACTACTAAAAATAAAGATTTAAGAATTTTCATGTGGGGGCTGGGGATTTAGCTCAGCGGCAAAAGTGCCTGCCTGGCAAGCGCAAGGTCGTGAGTTCAGTTCCCGGTACCGGAGAAAAACCAAAAAAAAAAAAAAAAAAAAGAATTTTCATGTGTAGATGTTTGTGCGGAAGATTTTCTTGTCTATAGTTAAGTCTCTTGTCCATTGAGTTAGATGAATCAGTTCTCTGAGGCCAATCACATCTGGCAGCACTAAGAAACTTAGTTTTCTGAAAGTACTCATAAAACCACAATAAATAGGCACATTAGCCAGAACGTCTCTACCAACCTAAACCTCAAATTCTATACTGCAAGTTAAAACATCACTGAATGGATGGAAGAAAAAATGAAAGTCCAGACAATACTTCTTGGAGACCTTCAAGCTTTCTAATAATACAACCACACAAATATATTTTTTAAAGTTTTTAATTTGAACTTTATTCAAACATCATATTTCATGATTCCATGTTACATACTCAATTTTTAAATGTCTTAGGAAACAAAAAGAAAATCATGAGCTATATTTTACCCAAATAAGGTAAAATTTATTAGATCAGCTGGAAATGTCTAGTTAGTGGGGGGATGTGGTAAATGTTTAGTGAGCATGAATAAATGATGAATAAATGAGCTATGACAGCATTCACATGTTTTGCTCCACTAATTAAAATTTTTATATGTTCACTACCTAAAGGTTTCTAGTAGACCAGTTTCACTGTCATTTCAAGGAGTCTCTGGTTTGAATATACAATAATGCTGTTATATTTCCTTCTTAAAATAAGCTGTAATTCAGCCAGGCTTTGTGCACACTCTAAGCCTGAACTAATGAGATTTTTCAGGAAGCCATAATCTCAACCAGAACAAGATGCATGTGCATTTTCCTGTCACTACATAGTCTCTGAACTACAGTAGAAACTAAAAATTTTCTAGTTAAAAACGTTCTGTGTGAATACACCGAGAACCACTGGCTTAGGAAAATGAAGCCTCACACAGTAAAATATTTAGCCTCTTTTCCAGTAAAAATGATTTCTGCAATACTGGAAAAGTAGCTAGTGCCACAGGCTGTCATGAAGGCAGCTGTGACCACGAAGTAGCTCCTTCACAGCCCTCCTCAGGAAAAAGCCACAACCCTACCCTGGCTCCCTCAGCCCCCAGCCCTCGGCTGCCCCACCGTCCTTACTACAGCTCAGTTATTCCCTCCTCCCGGCTCCAGCCGCACCAGCGTTCTTCACTTCCAGAGCGCTTCTTGGTCTCCTAGTCCCGAATGTTCTCCATCCTCTAGACCTTCTCTGCACATCCCCAGGTCACAGCGCAGACCTCACTCCTCTGGAGCGCAGTCCCTCACTTCTCAGACTACTCACCTCCCATCTTAAGGGCTCGCTGCCTCCCAGGGTTTCCCTTCCCAACACACACTGACATTTACTTGTAATAGATTTATATTTGATCAGTGAGCACTCCCACTGATGTGGCCTGTGAGGGTAGGGACTGCCTGTTTGGTTTGGGGGGGGGCGTTGTTTGTTTGTTTTTGTTTTTTTGCGGTACTGGGGATCGAACTCAGGACCTTGCGCTTGCCAGGCAGGCACTTATGCCACTGAGCTATACCTCCAGCCCGGGACTGCCTGTTTTGCTCATCATGAAGACCCAGCACCTAGTCGCATCATTCCTCTGAGAAATACCAAGCACTTTTTAAATGTGCTACATTCAGGAGCAAGCTAGTAAACTAACAAACTCTGAAATCAAAGTGGAACATGGGAGATCGCCCAGGATTTCCTTTTGGTTCAAGAACACACCCGACTTGAGGAAAGAATGCGATCACCCAGTCTCTCCAAGCTTTGGAAACATGTCAAGCTTAAGAATGCAATCACCCCTCTCGGAGCCCTGAGGATCTTGAAGAGCTGTGTGGAGTTGAGAGACATTTTTAACTTCAGACCCATGACTTGCACAAACATTCACAAAAGAGCTACGGTTGTTTCCCTCCCAGTGAGCCATCGCATCATATTATGAGATTTGAATGATCATTTATCTGTGTGATTTCTAGGATCTAAAGTTTCTTAAGCTAAGATTATTTAAACCTATGAACTCTCCCTTAAAAAAGAACTGTGGTTTTTATAGTTCTTAGCATGCCTTTTGCCATATAATACACAAATCAGCCATTTCTGTATACACCTGCAGGGACGTGTTAGTAAGCTTTCACCACCTAAGGAATTTAGGTCATTTATGATTTAAAAGTCAACCTGAAGGAAAGAAAGCACCAACTGATTTGGAAGCTCGGGGAGAAAAAACTTTAAAATGTGTCTGCTTCTAGCTTTTATCAGCTGCTGGCTTCTGGCTTCCTTAAGACAAGGGAAGCCAGGTCATCCCGCTGTGCTCTATTCACACCAAGTTCCCAGGCGCATCTTCTGAGATGGCACATGATGACTAACTGGGAGACGGGACATAAATTAACTGCTATTCAGACGCCGAATATTCTTTTTTATAGATAAATCTCTACCTGCTCCCTCATAAGGCAGCGAAAGAAACCAAAGGGCCAGCAGAAATAGAAACTTCTTCACTTGTTACTTGTAAATACTGTATCTCCTACACAATTACATCTGCTACCAATTAGAGGGATTTAGCACCTTTTCATTGAGGAACAGGTAATATAATTCCTGAGACTCTAAATAATAATGCTGAGAGGAACTGTGATATTAACACCTATTTATAAATATAAAAGAAACCCAATGATTTGGAGTCCTTTTCTGTTAGACATATACTTTGATACATAAAACAGTGTGTCTTGGGTATTTGAACAAATACCTTTTGACTCTTAAAAATTCTATTTTTAATCTCTTAATTATAAGCTCTAGTTTAATCATTTCAGTAGCCGAGTGTATGGCCTAACTTTGCTTATTCTATTCTGAGCCATAAACAGATGTAGATATCCAACAATATAAAGAAATTACAGAAACAACCTTTCACACTTACACTGAACTTCACAGAGGCGGTGCATTAAAAGATATATAACTACAGTACTCACCTTACATTTTTCCTGGCAAATATCTGCTCCAAAGTTAGTGAAAATCCCAGGCATAAAAAAAGAACTGAACAAATAAACAAGATTTTTCTTCCCATCAAGAAATGAATCAATTTATTCCAACCAAGCACATCTGTTAATTCCTAACACAAACAGCAGAGGCAGGACTTTGCAGGCCATGTGACTGACAGCACGTTCAACCAATGAAAGGTCAGCTTTCCCAAGACGCCCAATGGGGAGAATGAGGAGGGAGGAACCTGATAAGGCTTTATTTAGAGTATGGAGGGAAACCAGCATCTAGCTTTTCAATGATTAAACTCGTTGAAAGAGCACTGGGGAGTAGACTGTTGGAGAAAATATATTTCCCAGGTAAGGTCTTTTTAAAAAACAAGTAGCATTGTTTTGATACTACCATGTAACTCTTAAGATTCTTAACACTTCTTCTTCAGGAAGCTATTAAATTCTCCCCCAAATCTGTGAAGCGTCTATTTTCACACGCATTTTTCAGGTGAATGAGTCAGTAAAAATCTGGAACTTACCTAAATAGACACACAAGTGCTAGTTCACGTTTGCTGTTGCGTTTGTGACTCTCCATCTCTGGGGAGCCGCGGAGGGCAGCATTCGGGGAGCGCTGGGTTCCGAGTCAGGCACCGCTCAAAGCATCAAGCAGCAAGACTTAGGATGTATCTGATACCGAGCACATTATTTTTCCTCATCTGCAGAATGGGACCAAAAGTACTTAAAGAATTTGTGTGAGCATTAAATGAGATCATGATGAAAAGCCCCCCAAAATCCTCCTTACTTCAATCCCCCTTTTTAGCTAAATAAAGGACATTTCATGTTACTCCTTCCCTACCGGCCTCTACTGTACCCCTCAAAATCCAACAAAAGCAGAACACAACAAAAATCTCTGAGGTGCTTTACACACAATTTTAAAATTTTTATTTTTATTGTTAGCCATTTGCAGTTCATAATATTTACATTCCTCGTGTGGAGTTGTCCATGTACATAACGCATCTTCATTCTTTTTACATCACTTCCCAGATGCAAAAGATCTATCTCCTTGTTTCCTATTATCTATCTTTTATTTTGCTCCTGTTTTATACTTCAGCTTTCTCATATAAAAGAAGGCATATGATAATTTAGCTTGTGTGTCTGATTTATTTCACTTAACATGATCTCAAAGGGCATCCATTTCCCTGCAAATGAAACAAATTTATGTTCCTTTATTCCAGAGTGGTATTCCAGTGTGTAAGAATATCACATTTTCTTTATTCACTCATCCACTGGACATGCAGGCCTCTTCCAAGGTTTAGCTATCATGAGCTGTGCTGCTATAAACATGGGTATGCATGGGTCACTATAATATGTCTTTCACTGTTTTGGGAAGATACCTGTAAGGGGAACAAATGGGTCAAGCAGAATTGCTATTTTTAGCTTTAAAACAACAGTGAGATTCCATCTTATTCTAGAAAGAATGACTATCATCATGAAATCAAGCAACAAATGCTAACAAAGTTATGGGGAGAAAAGGAACCTTTCTGCATTGCTGCTGGGAATGCACTAGTCAACTACTATGGAAATCAGAATTTTATATCTATTTATAAAAATGCTGGGAAAAAGAAAGCTTCCCAAAGGAAGGGCCAGCATGTTTAGGCACTTAAAGGCCTTGACCCCTTTAATGATAAAGTACTGGTAGTCCAAAAGTGCTATTTGTAAGTGACCATTCAGAAGTGTGGGTTCTAGCGAGGCTGAGGAAGTCTCCCTGTCCCCACTGTCTCCTCCTCCCGTAACGGGAGGAAGCCCTGCAGGATATCAGAGGAGGAGAATAAAGCAGGTCCGGGGGGTATAGAGAAATGAGGAGGAAACTTATAGTTATAAAATGACCAAATTCAACCAGATTTAAAATTACACAACACATACGCATACCGGACCACCACACGATCCCTCACTAGCTGGTACAACTTTTATATTTTATGTATCATATAAAAATAAAAAATTTTTAAAAGGTCACAGGCCTTCCATGTGGCCTTTCCAGGCCCACCTTCTCTCCACCTGCCCGTCCTTCTCTCTCTGCCCTCTGCTCTTTCATTTCCTCCCCCTGCCCCTCCCCGTCCCTTCTTATCAGCCAGAGGTTTTCCTGATTCTCTGGAATTTCGAGTAACAAGGCTGGTCTGGCTGAAGGAATTTAGACCTCGGAAGGATTGGTTGATTAAACTCTGAGAGACCCAGTTAAATTTAACTCTCAGAAAAACAACAAATGATTTTAACAGAAGCGTGTCTCGTGCAATATTTGACACACTATTTTTTAAATCATTCATTGTTTTTTGGAAAAGTAAATTTAACTGAAGGTCCTATGTTTTTATTAGCTAAATCTGGCAAGCCTAGCTTTATGGAACTCCCTGCCACTCAAATGCAACGTGCACACAAAGCCCTGTTTGTCTTTTCAGGGAGGTGCTCAGTCAGAACCCAGTGTGCGCCTGCTCTAAGCCTTTTCTCAGTCCTGATCATGCTTGGTAATGTAGGGAATGAGTATCTGGGCCTCTGCTTGTTTTATTCTTTATTCTCAATTGCTTTACCACTCAGGTGAGATGAAGGGTAAGTTTTACGACTGTGCTCAGAATCACCCCATTCCCCCGACAAAGAGAAAAGACTGATCTTCATAAGTTAGATCCACACTGGGGAGGAAAGAAAGGCCAAAGGTTTTTTTAAATGCTGACAATTAATAGTAGAGCATTTGGTATAGTCAGAAATTATCTTTAGTTCTGTAGCTATAAAAATGGAGGCAGCAGTTGCTATGGAAATGTGACAAGTTAAAATAGCAGCTTTAAGTAGCATAAATAAGCAGGGAGAGTCAGACCTATGATTATTTGCCCTGCATAACTACCAGTGATGGCTGTTGAGTGCTTCATTTTACCTGATTAAATTATTAAACACTATTTTTTCTTTATCCAGAATGAATAGGATTTCTTATCCTTTCATTCGAGCCCCTGTTTGAGCGATAATTATTTCTTCTCAAATCTATTCCAAGGTGGAGCTAAAGAAATAAATGTGCTGCTGTATAATCTTACTAATATTCAGGCCTGATCCTCAAAAATCCTGTTATTATGATTAAACCTCCACATAGGATCTAGGGGAAATTGACAAAATTGTTCTTTGATGCCCTTTGTAAAAATTCCTGGAAGGGAGCTATAATTCCAATACCCATATTAAAAGTTATTCTCCAGGTGTTCTCTGGCATGGCTAGGATCCAAACAAAGGAAAATAGGCTTCTTTGATGGTAGGCACCTTTGAGCTACAAGAAAAGAAAGACAATTTTCCTCACTGCAAGGGAATATTAAGGTCTCTTTCCCTGGAGAGTTTTAAGATTTGGGTGGATGGACCAGATCTATAACGTCCAAGAGCTCAGTGAGGACCAGCTAAGGGTGACTCTTTTGACTTATGCATTGCACACTGAAATGAAGATTCACTAGGATTATTTCTAGATTTTAATATGTGAATTGTGATAATACAAAAACATAGAAACAATCAAAGTAAATATGCAAAATATGCGGACATTCTACATTATTAAGACTATTGCTTGAAGGACTTTATATACAAAGTAAGAACTTTTCTCTTGAAGGAATACTGGAGAAAAGGAAGGAAATGAAGAATATAAGAAATGAAGGGGTTCTGAGCTTATTCAGGTATAAAAAAAATGACAGTAATCAAAAACCTGCTTCTTGATTTTGTTGGTCTAGCACTTATTACTGATTTTAAGGACAGCCACACACATGCATCTGTAATCAGCTCCTGCATGTGGTCCTTTCGCACATGCTGGGATAACGTGCGCTTATGTGTGTGAGTTTTAAATTGTACTTCAATAGTTTTTAAGGTAAAGTTTCCAAATTTATATTAATTATTTAGAAAAGTTTATTTTGGATTTGCCACCAAGGCAGTTATATGTGGTGCTGCCTGTGAAAGCAAAGGAGCGAGTGAATTTCAGCCTCGAGTACTGGGTGACATCATGCAGTATATGTTGTCAAAGTGAGTTTTATTTCAGTGAATCAAAAGGAGTAGGCCCTGAAATTCTTAAGCAGGCAGGGGCCATTTCTAGAAGCTAGTGAAGCTCTTATTCTCTCTGGGACCTAGGTCCTCCAGGCTACCTCTGGCCCTCAACCTTCCCTTCCTACTTCATGGCCCTTTGACCACACTAAATATATTATTTAGCAAAGCCTTCCAATAAAGGCTCTTTTATATTGCAAGTAGCAAAAGCCCATATCAAATTGTTACGCTTTATATCTAGATGTCCCCTCAAGCCTCATGTGCTCAAAGGCAGGGATTTTGGAAGGTGACTCCATCATTAGGGTTAGGAGGTGGGGAATGGCTAGAAGAGGCGGGTCACTGGGTGCATGGCCTGGAGGGTTTATCTCCCTTCCCAGCTCCTCATATCTCTCTCTCTCTCTCCATCTCTCTCTCTCTGTCTCTCTGCTTTCTGTCCTCCATGCTGGGAGCTGCTCCCTTGGATCCAGCCAACTATGGACTGACCTCTACAAACTGTGAGCCACAAAATTTGTTGGCGTCTGGTATTGTGTTCCAGTGAAGAGGAAAATGACTAAAACACATATTCTTAATGTCTCCTGTCTTTCATATCTGCCACTCCATTCCCTTTATTTCATCCACCATTGCCTAGAGCGTATAGGATTGACTTTAAGGGAGGTCAATTGCATGCTGAGTGCACACATCCAGGTTTTCCCCACTGCAATTACGTGTTTACATTTCTGCACATTACTGGGTTGTGAGATTCTGGGAGCCATAGAATTCTTTTTTAACCTTGTGTTCTGGTAAAGAACAAAGCACAGGACCAGGGTGTGTTGAATGGACAAATTTATGCAAGAGTAGACTTCCAGTCTCAGTTTCAGCTTGAGCAATGCAGGACATAAATATGTGTCTCTAATCTGGCACATTATCTACGTCCCTTGAAGTCAAAGGGAAACCTCAAGGGGGAAACATTAACATTTAAGTTAAGAGCACTTAGAAATATTTCACTGAGTATCCTGATTCTAGCAACTCAGGAGTTGATTTAATGGAAATTTGTAGGAATCATGGAGCAATTAGACTCTGAACATGCGAAGAGTTCTATGCGTCCCCCACAGCCTCAAGGAGCAAGGAGCACATACTATGATTCTCGGCCAGTGAACAGGTATACTGGGCTTTATCCGTTTTTGTTTTCAAGCACCTGAGATGTATGGAATGCTAGAAGCAATGGACTTTCCAGTTATGATTACCCAAAACTTGAGGCCCTGGGTACCAGAGCTATATGGCATGAAGTGGGGATTAATTATGTGGCGTTTCTGAATAGTTTTATTCATTCGTTGTGTAAATTTTACTTAGCACCAACTGTGGCCAGTTAGACATAGCCCCGCCCTCATAGGGCAAGACTTCTGATGAGAATACACAGCATAAATAAACAAGAAAATCAATATCCAAGTGCAAGGTGTGACACAGGATTAGGACAAAAATTATGGTGACGGTGCAGAGAATGCTGGGAGTGGTAGAGGAGTGAGTTGATCCCACAGAGCAGTCACAGTCTCTGAGATGCAAAAAAATGACATAGTGTGGTCCTGAGAAACCAGGCAGAAGTCAGAATGCAGGGACTGTCATCTGTCGGGAGGGAGAGTGGCACCGCGTGAAGAGAGACCAGCAAGGGCCACGTCATGCAGACCTGTGGGAGGGCAGACAGACTTGGATTTCTACACCGAGCCCATTATCGCTGATGAAAACATCAGGCTAATGGATTTGTAGTTTGAGAAACTTGGCAGAGACCAAGCTCTTTGTTAGAAGGTTCTTGAAAACGTTTGATGCTGAAGCTAAATTAATCTTTCTCTGAGGGAACACCGTTATTTACGGTCATATAAGATTATGGAAGAAAAGGTATTTTATATTCATGTTTTCAGCTAACATTCATTTAGTAGTAATGGGCAAACCTGAGTTCTTTTAGTTGAAAACAAGGTGGGCGGATGTGTAACCTCCTGTTCTTTGGGGACTGGTGCGTGGGGACCCTGTCCACGTGCCTCTACAATTCCTGCCCATGTTGTGAGGCCCTCCCTGTTCTTTGATCTGGAATAAATATCTTTTCTGGCTGTACATCCAAAAGCCCTGAAGGGTACACGTAGCGTCTTCTGTGGAAACGACAGCTCTGTTCATCATTCTGGAAATTAAGAGCATTTCCCTCCAGAGCAAAAGACTGGGGCTTTTCAAGCCCAGGGCTTCTCTCCCAGAATGAAATCCGCTGCACATGCAGCATACATCAGTACCTATCTGCACAGTTTCCTGGAAAGCGGGGAAGGACACAGGTGTGCAGCTTCTTGCATGGTGAGCAAAAAAGTCCTCTGTCTCTGATCCAGGAGTCTTATGTCTTCTGCCTGTTCTGTAAAATCAGCAGACCTTCTGGGAGGCTGAGGCAGGAAGATTATCAAGTTCAGGCCTAACCTGGGCACCTTAGTGCCTTGGCAAGACTCCGTCTCAAAAAAATGGCAGGAAATATAGCTCAGTGTGAAGGCCCTGGGTTTAATCTCCAGTACTGGAAAAAACAAAATGGCAGCCTAATTCGTTAGCTTAGAGGTGGGTAAAACCTTACACTCTTCACAATTCTTAACAAAGTCTCCTCTGTAACCTGAGCAGGTGGTTGCAATGTCAGGCCAGTGACAATCCACTGCTTTTCAGTGGCAAGACACTCACTTTGCATTTTTTGTCACTGCTTTTTCCTCCAGTCACAAGATGATCTGTTCTCAGTCACATTTTCAGTGTGATTCCTATTTTCAAATACATGTGTGAAACTTCCTAGGTATTAATTATTCTGCCTTGAATATTCTTGTCCAAGTGGGGGAATAGTCCAACAACAAAAAGGATGCTATGCTAAAAGTTCAGGATCATGAAGACCTAAAATATGATACTTGGTTTAAAAATAAAGACTTTGTGGTGCATACCTGTACTCCCAGCCCTCTGACAAGCTCACACAGGAGATTTGGAAGTTTGATTCCAGCCTGGGCAACTTAGGAACTGAGCCAGACCCTGTCTCAAAAACTAAAAGAATATGGCTGGGGATGTAGCTCAGTAAGGGCTCAGGGTTCAACTGCAGTACTGCAAATATCAATCAATTTTTCAATTATGTATGTTTAAAAATGTTTAAACCCAACCATATTTCCACAAAAGATTCCAACAGAACCACGAAGGGACTAGCAATACAGCTTTTCAGTGTTCATAAAGCCATCCCATCCCAATGCCGGACAGGCTGGGGCTGTCACATCCTACTTATCAGGTGCTGGAGGAACAGGCACTGCCAGTATGGGTGTCCAATATAGCAGACATGACCCACAGCTTGAAACCTGGTTCTGTGTTGGATATTTCAGCCCTTACCCTATCCGAAGTTTTTAATGTAAGATAGCAATCCAATTTAATTTGAGAACAACGTTTTTACGCAGCTTCATCTTTAAAAATGCTTAATTATAACTGTATATTTAGTATACAAGACGTTTTCATATATATACATATACATATTATGGCTAAATTAAGCTAATTAACATATGGTACCTTATATACTTTCTTGGGGTAACAACATTTAAAATCCACTCTATGATTTTCATATCTAGAACACATTATTAATCACCTTCTCCATGTTAGAGAGAACACTTGAATTTGTTCCTTCTAACTGAAACGTTGTATCGTTTAGTCAACAAATCTTGAATTTCCTAAAGCCCTCAACTCCTGGAAACCACCCTGTATGCTCTGCTTCTGTGAATACCAATTTTTTTAGATCCCACCTAAGTGAGATCGTGTGCCATTTCTCTCCACGATCTCACTCAGAGCCTTGGTTTCCAACACTACTTATCCAGTGATGACTTTGATGAACTTCTGGTCCCATATCCAACTATCCACTTTCCATCCCTGGATGTCTAACAAGCTTTTCAAAGTTCATGCGTCCAAAACAGAACTCTTCACTTTCCCTTCTGGTACTTCCTACTCGGTTAATAACACAAATCCCCAAGTGCTCAGGTCACGAGTCACGGGTGGTAACTAACTCCTGTCAGCTCCACCACAAAACAATATTAACTAATCCGCCATTTTTTACCACCTCCTTTGAGGATCGAAGTCATTTTCTCCCCCTTTACGATTATAATACCTTCCTGAATGGCTTCAGGGTTCATGTTTTTCTCTTCACAAGGGCCAAAGTAATCCCACGGAAACATCAATCCTATTTTACCTGCTTTGCGCAAAGACCGCACTCGGTCACCAGACACTAACAGTTGAAAATGAAAGCCCGATGGGGCTTCACCGTGGTTAGAGGAGCCCTCAGGCGCCCTCTGGGCAACTCTCAGCCCTCAAAAGGAGGACCCACTGCCCCTTGCTGAGCATCCATGCTCTGTGTCCTGTAATTAATCTGACTGGTTTATCTAGGCTGTCAGCTCAAATGTAATCCTCACAGAGCCACTTTTTGTTTAGCTTTTGAAAACATTATTCATGTTTGTGGTGCATATTTACATTCATCCTAGGAAGTGATACGTGTACACATGGCATCTTAGTTCTTTTTATTTTCCCTTACCCCGGAGGTCTCTTCTTAATTCACCGCGTCCACAGTAGCTAAGATCACCTATTTAACTCTATTTTTTTCTCTATAGCATTTATCACTGTGCAAAATTATCTTCCTGATTATCTTCAAATGTACATACACACTGCCTGTTCCCTCAGACCTAGATTAGAATAAACCTCGCAGGAGCAGAAACTTCCTCTCTCCTTCGCTACCATATCCCCAGTGCACAGAGAAGACACTTTTAAAAGTATCTGTGGAATAAGCACCCAGAAAACTCTCATTTATTTTCCTTTCAGAAGAAGCGGGTTTAAAGAGTTGATAACTAGTCGGCCAAGGTCGCACAACCAGGAAAGAGCAGCTTCTTGGTTTAAAGCCCAGTCTGACCCCAAAGCCTGGGTCTGTAATTATTACGCTACGCTGTCTCACTAAACTTTGCAGTTTATCGCGCCGCCTTCCCTGTTGGTGTAACTTAAAGCCCAGAAGCCTAACCTCCCAGCCTCCGTTCAGGTTACCCGGACACAGACACTGACGGCGATTTCCCAGCGTGCCCCGCGCGTCTCCGCCTCCCCGTCCCCACCTGTTCAAAGGCCCCCGGGCTGCCCCCGGAGCCTGTCTTTCGAATACGTGGCGCAAGGAGTTCTGGGATTGGTAGTTCACATTCCTCCCGTCCAGGCATTCACCTGAAAAAGGAAAAAAAAAAGACACGATCGAGACATCCCTGAATTTTATACGCATGAAATGAGACTCAGATTTTGGCTCAGGAAAGTGGTACAAGAGTGCTGTTTTCCAACGAACTCCACCCTCGAGACAGGCGCCACGAGACAGCCCCAGAGGGTCCTTCGGGGCGGGGCGGGGCCTGTCGCGGTGGCTTGTGGGTCCTTCCTGCTCCGACTCGTTCTTTCGCTCAGGCTCTCGGACCGGCAGGATGGGTGAGGCACGCGGGGCTGTGCTGCGGGGCTGCGGGCGGCCTCGGAGGGGTCCCGGGAGCCGCAGGCGCCGGGAGATGGGGCGGGGAGCGGGCTCCAGGCGGAGGCTGGCGGGTGGGGACGGGGAGGCGACGCCGCAGGCACGCGGACGGCGCACGCGGACGGCGCGTCTCGGAGCGGGGCGCCGTCTGGAGCACCCGCGCCGCGCTGGACCTCGAGCACCCGTTCGGGGCGCGGGGGCCGGGCCGCGGGCCGGCGGCGAAGGAGTCGCAGTGGGTTTGTCTTGCTAGGCAAGTGTCGCGGTCTGCGTACTGCCAGGAAGCTCCGCAGCCACCGGCGGGACCAGAAGTGGCACGACAAGCAGTACAAGAAGGCGCATCTGGGCACAGCGCTGAAGGCCAACCCCTTCGGAGGCGCCTCGCACGCCAAGGGGATCGTGCTGGAGAAAGTGTAAGTGAGAGGCCGGTGCCGCTCTCGAGCGTCTTCCCGCTGTGCTAATTCCGAGCAAGCGAGCTTGGTGAACTCTGGGTGGGTGTTTGGTGGTTCTCTCACGCTGGGGATAGGACCCGCGGCTTTCACACTGACCTGTGTTCCGGTCCGTTTATTTACTTTGTTCTTTTAAGTTTTGAGACAGTCTAAATTGCCCTCTCTGGGCTTGAACTAATGATCGTGCCTCAACTTGCCGGAGTTGAAGAATTCAGACTTGCACCACCCACCATGTCTGGCTTGAATTTACTCTTTTTTAAAAAGGGGCAGTAGTTCAGGTGGACATTTTGGGAACTACGGTTGAACTGCCATTTGGGGCAGGGTACCAGGATTCGAACTCAGGACCTTGTACTTGCCAGGCATATGCTTGTGCTGCTGAGCTGCATCCCCGGACCTTGAAGTGCTATTTGTATTTAAGAGTTGACAAAACTAGTGTTTGGCGGTTAAATAACCACGAGTTTAGATTTCAGCATTGACCCTACAGGAATGGGGAAAGATACTAACAGTAGTGCAGTGAGGAACATAAATGAGCACGTTTGCTATGTGAGAAGTGCAGCAAGCACATTTCTGCTCGCTGTTTTCTGTGGTCAAGTGGTTCTTTTGAGAAAAGGAGAGAAGTGACTTAGGAGAGGTCAGAGTACTAATATTGAGCTATACGAATATGCTGGTATTTGACTGATTTTTGACTTTCAAAAATGGTGATATGTGGTTCCCTCACATCTTATGGCACGGTTGTAATTTGAATGTGGACTTCCAAGCTGTAAGTCTTTTCAGTAGTTCCGGTATCTTTACAGCTGTGAAGGAACTAAAGTTGTCCACCAGTGTGGTAATGTCTCAGATGGAGGGAAAAAGTGGTTGAAACACCAGGATTTGACTGTATTAGTTCTGTGCATCATGTCAGTGTTTCTTTTCAAAAAGCCAACTCACTGCTCTGCTGTAACGTTTCAGAGGGGTTGAAGCCAAACAGCCAAATTCTGCCATCAGGAAGTGCGTCAGGGTCCAGCTGATCAAGAATGGCAAGAAAATCACAGCTTTTGTCCCTAATGATGGGTGCTTGAACTTTATTGAGGTGAGTGTTTCCAATAAGTTTGGTTTTCTGTGGTTTGGTCATGGGTTTCCTTACCCTGTTAGCCTGTTTTGTTTTTGATAAATGGGAGTTTCCGTATATGAACAAGTAGTGCCTTTTTGTGACTGCCACTGATGCCGGAAATAAATGTCATATTTTATTTCAGGAAAACGATGAAGTCCTGGTTGCTGGATTTGGTCGAAAAGGTCATGCCGTTGGTGACATTCCTGGAGTCCGCTTTAAGGTGGTTAAAGTAGCCAATGTCTCTCTTTTGGCTCTCTACAAAGGCAAGAAGGAAAGACCAAGATCATAAATTTTGATGATGAAAAGACATTAGTAATAAATTTTCATATTCCAAAAATGTTTGGCATTTTATTTTCTCCCTCACCACCAAGTAGATAGGGTTATGTACTTTACCAAGTGCTATTTTTAGGAGATGTGAAGAACAGGTAACTCAGTATTGGGATTAGCAACCCCTTAACAATGCTTCTTGCATTCCACTTAAAATTTACAAGTCGAGTAAATGTACAGTATTTTAGTGTATTTTTAAAACACTATTTCTCATGAGGTATTTCTCAAGTTCTTCAGTTACGTTGAGCAGGGATCCTCCTTAGGCCTTGTGTATTTTTTCTTGAATCTATTTTCCCAAATTGAAAAAAATGAAATTTCCTCCAGTTGTTCCCTGTTGTGATTTTCAAGTATCGAAGGGTGTTGGGATCAGTGTAAGTCTGTTGCTGTGTTGTTTGAAAAAGGATTGAGGCCTTGGTGGCTTAGTTGATGGAACTACATACCCAGCAGATGGAGGCATAGAGGCAAATATTTAAGGGCAAGGGAGATCGGGTACTGTATGTGACATAGGTTCAAGCTTGTTAGTAACAGGTACTGCTAAGGCACACAGTGAAAGCTGGGGAAGAGATCAGATGTATGGGTTTTGAAATTGTCAAAGGTGGGTCTGGTCCTTTTGCTATCCACATGTGTTCCAATATTTCCATTGAGAGAATATGGCTATTAGCTTTCTAATTTTAGTGATCTGAGAAACTCCTGTTGGCTGCATTAGTAAACGTTAATCGGATCAAAGCTCAGAGTTAGGTTGTTTATGAGGATGCTTCATTTTAGGGAAGAGACCAGAAGCATGATCATGGTATGGGGAGACCTTTGTTAAGCCTACCCCTGGCTGCCTCAGAACAAGCCCCACTGAGATTCCGTGTCCAGGCATGGGTTCCACCACTACCTCCCATCTTAATCTCCCCAGCACACTGGTGCTTGTCCTGCAGCAGAAGGCCCTGGCTCTTTTGGCAGCAAGGTCTGACTTGCTTTCTTCCCTACCACCAACAGGAGTGTTATTGGCTGAGCCATTCCCGACTGCAGACCTAGATGTTCACTGATCCTTCTCTGCTAAATGGGGAGGTCCCTGGTCTCAGCCCCCTTCCCCTCCACCCAGTACCCTCTAGAATATACCGAGCTGGCACGGGGAGAGGGACATCAGCAAGCACTGCTTGGAGTTGCAGGCACCTGGAGTGGCTAGCTGGATGTACCAGGGACGTCCTTTCCCATCAGCCTGGCCCGGTGGCTACCAGGTGCTGTAGGTGCATCTCCAAGTCCCTCACCGCCACCTCCAGCACCCAGTGACCCAAGCAGGCCCCTTTATGTAACTGAGGGTACTGCCTCACAGGCAGTGCCCAGCTGTGTGAGGCTGACTAGACTGAGGGTGAGGCGCTTGCTCATCCGGTAAACGAAAGAAGCAAAATCCAGCATCTAAACTCCATGGAAAAGCAAAGGCGCTGGAATCACTAAAGTGACACCAAAGAATAACTAGACCAATCACAAGACCTGGTTTTGGGTCTGACTGTTTATTTGTAATAGCCAAGGCCTGTAGACGACCTGTCCGTCAGTAGGCGGCTAGTATGGATGAAATACTACCTGGCCGTAAACAGAAACGTAGCAACTTCAAGAGTAGTATGCTGAGAGAATAAATCTCAAAAGGTGACATCCTGTATGACTGCATTTGTATAGCCTTTAATGGCAACAGCAGAGATGCGTAGACAGTAGGAGTTAGAAATGGGGGCAGAAGTCAGATGTGAGGGCATGTCTGACCCCAGCATGCTGGAGGCCGAAGCAAGAGATCAAGGCCATCCTGGGCTACCTAGGAGACCTGTCCCAAAACGGGTGGGGATTGGGCTGGGGCCACAGAGGATGTGACTTGTGATGGAATGATTCTGTCTTGCCCATGGTGGGCGTTTACACAGTATTTGTGATGGAATGTCAAATACTGCACACCAAAACAAGAGGGTGGGAAAGTAGATGGTAGGAAGGGAGGGAAGCAGAGGAAGGGAAAATTCGGTAGAAATGTTGGTGAGTGCGTGTAAGGTCTGTATTTCCGTTAAAAGTGTTTTTGAAAATACACTCATTACAAAAGGGGTTATCATTTGAGAGAGCTGGGTGAAGACAAACATGTTTTTATACCTTGTGTGTCTTCAGTTCTGTGTTCTTGTTAATGGGTAGATAATTTAGTCTGTTAATTCATCTGTGTTAACTCTGTTTGCCTAGCAAAGTTCAAACAAATCAGAAATTGCTAGAACAGAAAGAACCTGGATATCACTCAGTCCTGGAGTTCCCAACCCAGGGACATCAGAAGTCCCATGGTTACCACTAGTCTTCTGGGAGACAGCCCTGTTTCTGTCTGTCTGTCTCTGTCTGTCTTTCTTCTCTCTCTCTCCCTCTCTCTTTCATACTGTGCTAGGGACTGAATTCAAGGCCCAATGTTTTCTAGAGAAGCACTCTACCCACTAAGCCACATCCCCATCCCTTTTTTATTAACCAAATTTCCCAGGCTGGCCTTGAACTTGCAATCCTCCTGCCTCAGCCTCCTGAGGACCTGGAATTACAGATATGTACCACTATACTTACCTGACTCAGATTCTTATTCCAGGTTTTGTCCCACAGATGGATTTGTAAGGGTCTAGAAACCTGAAATCATATGCAGAATTTTCTGATTACTTGTTTGTATGTGTACAAAACACACATACAGCAATTTCTGAAAATGCATTCTGTTCACTTTTCAGAGAGGATCCTGATGCAAGAAACCAGCTACTGTTTAATGCTTGCAGCAGAGAGCAGATTTGGTCACATATTACATGATTTTCCACTCTGATCCTGTAGCAAAAGACATGCCCCCCCCAAGTATATTGCAGTTTCTCAGTTGCCCAGGTAATAGTTCCTGTTCCATTTGCTTCTGTCTTCTAGAAATGGCTGTTTGCTGTGATGCATAACTAGTCACTGTGCTGCACGTTATATAAACCAATCCCCAACTGACAAGCCATTCTGCCTCTGCACTTCCTGCTTGCTTATCCCATATAAGCCCTAGACCACCAGAGATCAGGGCCTAATATTCTGATCCCAGTCAGTGCCTATCAACATAAATAAATCTACCTTCAGATCCTGGGTGTCATTTCGGTGTTTCTGTTTGCTGTAGCACTCCCAGCTGAGAACAGGGAGGGCAGTTGTTAATGGAATGTGCCCAAGCTGAGGTTCTGTGGGTGGGTGCCTGTCCTGGGCTGTTCACTCTATAAGAGAAGTGTCATAGTCAGCACACAGTTCTGAGGCTCGGACCCAGAACGGGAACCTGCTCTGATCTGGCCTGGCCTGGCCTGGGGACAGGATTCAAGGGGGTAAGGGCGCACAGGAGAGGCGCTGTGGGAGACACAGTCTGATTCCTAACAGCCCAGCCTGCCCTGACCCCAGGGTTCTGACCCAGGCCCAGAGAGCATTCATGCATTCACAAGGGAGCTGCCCTGGAACTAATTAGTCCCTACCAGGCCTCCAATAAAGCTTCCCCCACCCCACCCTGCACCCTGGAGCCAACTTACCAGCACAGGGACCTTTGGGGAAAACTGCAGCCACAGAGCAATCCACAGGGCCCGCGACATGCACCTCTGCATCCTGCTGACTGCACCCACCAACCCATGTACAGTCATCACAGAGGACAGACAGGTCCCCAGGACCCTGGTCAGAGGGGAGTGAGAGAGAGTGAACACCACAGAGACCAGAGGCACAAAAGCAAGGACCAAGAGCCAAAGATGTTGCTGACGTCTAAGAATGGAGTAAAAATTGGTGCAATAGATGCAGTAAAGGGGCTGGGGATTTAGCTCAGTGGCACGGCGCCTGCCTGGCAAGCGCCAGGTCGTGAGTTCAATTCCCGGTACTGAAAAACAAACAAACAAAAATAGATGCAGTAAAGATGTTCAGTCCACACCTAGAGAGGCAAAGGACATAGTACCTGTGCTTTGCTTTGAAGTATTTTAGTAAATAAAACAAGAAGGAGTTAAACGAAACAGAAACCTCGGTGATTGTTGATTTTGACTTACAGGTATGTGACGGTTCAGTGCACCATTTTCTCTACTTAAGTGAATGTTTGAAATTGTCCATAGCAATCTCTCAAATGACATGTTCCCTACTGTTTAATAGCCACACCTGTGGGGCTGTATCAGAACCAGTCAGTGAGCCACTGGCCAGGACAGGATCAGAAGGAAGTCCCAGGAGTAATCAGGTGACAACCAAGAGAAAACGAAACTGAGCACCTGCGAAGTAGTTAACACTCTGGGAAGCAACAAAGCTGAGAATCTGTGCAAAGTTTAGCAAAACAAGAGGGGGAAATGTTCAATTCTATGATAAAAGCAAAGTAAAACAATTATTTTCTAAGACTGAAGGAAATGCTAAGGCACAGACCGCTGCTGGGAACGTAAATTGGTGCAGCCTTGCTGAGGGACAGGTTTACAGGTGACTCGACAGCCTTTGAGCTGTTTGACCCTCAGTTCCCTTAGTAACAGGCAACCTACAGACACGACGTGAGCGCCCAGTTCACTGTAGCATGAGTGCTTGGTGCACAGTAGCCTGGAAGCTCTTGGCAGCAAGGGCTTCATGAACCCTACTGACCCCTGGCGTTCCCAGGCTGGCTCCGGGCCACGTAGCCAGCAAGGGCCAAGGAGTATGTTACATGTGGAGGGAGGTGTCAGGAATAGAAGGTAGAAATGTGTGGTCAATTTTGATAGAGAAGAAGTCATAGTCATTTTAAATTGCATTTTCAAGTAAAATGGGAAAGAGTTGCAGACATTGCAATTGGAAAACGTAAGCATATAAAGCCATACACAGAAGTTTCTCATATGAGAAACCCACAGTACAAATAAGTTAAAAGCAAAATAAAAAATGGGTGATAGGAAGCGGAGAGGTAGACCTTTTGCAAATGGGAACGGGCCCAAGAACTTGAAGAGAGGACTAAAAAGAAGGAAGCTGTGGGATGTCCATGCACCAACTCCCCACGAGAAACGCAGTCATCAGTGCTGCAAACACAGACTAATGAAGACA